TTTTCATAGAGACAATTTTTAATAGTTTTACATGGAAAGGTTAAAAATGAACTATAAACTCAATTTCTTAAAATTTTTCTTCGCATAAATCTATTGTTTTTAAACAAAATGGTTTGGTGCCTACTGATTTTTGTATTATGATTTATTAATATCAGATGTTTTTAACTTTGCAGATTATCTCTTAAACTTCTCGATATTGCTGAGTTGAAAACATTTGAGGTTTCTAAAAATTTCCTTAAACTTTTATTGAATTCCACGTTTCTCAAAATATTTTTTTTCAGAACTGTCAATAACAACAAGACTTCCTGCGTAAATATTTAAACGAGTACTCTGTGAAAATCCATACCATTCTTTTAACATTACGTTCGGACTCCTGGTTTCTATGCGATCCCATTCGTACGATGATTATCGTACGCGTACGATAATTTGAGGTCCTGTACGATCCAAAATTCGTGGTGTACGATCCATTTGGAATTTCGAAAACTTGATGACCTTTTTTTTTTTTAGTCAACAAATTTTGATGACTATGAAATGACTAAAAAAAAAAACGTCATCAACTTTGAAAAAGTTGGAACTTGGACACTTTTTCCACATTTTGAAAATTTTGTCCGAGAAATTGTTGGATTTTTCTCGGATTTCAAATTTTCCCGGGGCGTACGATAATTTTCTGCCGCGTACGATAATTTTACGCCCCTGTGTCGATCAGACGAACTAAAGTCTCTGGGATCACTGTATCTATCCTCCGTGGTTTTCATTGAAATTCTGTGTAAACTACATAAGTCAAAGAGGTTATGTTTATTCTTATTTACTATTATTTATTGTAAAATTACTTGAATAATGGCAATGGCAGGGGCAAGGGCAGGGGCAAGTAAACAAGCATTACGATACTTTCTTGGTACGTGTATACCATCTGTTAAACAAAATGCTGTGAAAATACGTGTGCAACGTCTCGATCTAGATAAAAATCTTTGGATGGTAAGGTTCTACTTTAAACTTTAAAATATAAATACATTAAAAGTACGATTTTTTTCTTTTTCATCGTCTCAAATAAAACTTATTTCTTACTTTTAACATCTAGTATTTCAAAGAGTATAATTTCGTCTATGCCCATGATCCAGATAAGAAATGTAACATAGGAGATATTGTTTTGATACAAACGTTACCTGAGAAGTTGACACGCCTTATTACCCATAAAGTATACATATATCTCTATTCATAACAATAATATTGTTATTATTATTATAACTAATTGATTATTATATTCCTAAATACTTTAATTCTCTAATCATAAAATTTCAATATAGGTTGTAGACGTTATTTATCCATTAGGTGATATTACAGATCCTCTAACTGGTAAAAAAGTTGTTGTTAGCAAGTATAGGTAAGTATTATATTAATACTAAACCTACTGACATTTCGTGTATATCAATTTCTATCGTGTGCGATCAAATTAACGCTTAAAAAAAAACATTTATCTTAATATAAAATAAAATGTTAGCTAATTGGATAGAAAACAATATATTTTCTTTTATTTAAAGTGAATAATATATAAATTTGTTGCGTATTTACTGCAATTTTTACAAATTGCCGGACTCGGTCATTTGATCGTGCTCGATAGATTTAATATTAACATATTCGAGATCGCTTATGTACTCCTATGTCATTTCAAATTTTTTAACTAGATATCAGTGATGTAGTCCTATGCTATTAAATATTACATTTCAATAATTAATTATTATTATTTTAAGCTATTATATTCAATATCCAGTTAAACATCTCACTTGAACAATGTCAATCTTAAATATGTTAAATATGAATATTGTATGCATATGTATATGCATATATAGACTATATAAATATCTATGTACAATATATTTTTATTTAAATGAATTTAAATTTTCAATCAGGGATGATATAAAGGAGATTAATCAATTGTATGGTGAATCCAAAAATGCTTTTAATTACGATAAAGCACCTCCAAGAGGAATCACGAAAGATAAAAGAGATTTTACGTATCAAGAAACATATGTTAAATACCAAGAAGATCCAAATGATCCTCAACCATACGCAGTATAATGTATTTATGTATTTAAACATATAAATAGATCTTAATGGCAATTTGTGTAATAGATAAATCACTTAATGTTTCATGCATTTAGTTTTAAAAATACTTTTTGTTATTTAATATTATCCTCATTACGTCCTCTTCACAAAATTATGTATTTTATTAAGAAACTAAGTATAGTTGTTTTCTTTTCAAATTAATAATTAGTGATATTAATTTAAAATTTTAAATAAAATTTTTTTTTTTTAATATAAATTTTATGATCACATATCATATAAATACATAACCCGTTCATTGTTTTCAATAATTCCAGTTAATACAATCGTTTAAATATAAAAGTGCTTTTACATTTACTAAATATATAATATAACAAATTAAATTAAATAGTGTCATTAATTACTTTTGTATTATGTTATTCTGAAAGAAATTCTCTTTCAAGTGCGGCTCCCATAGCATTCCATTCTCTATCATCTTCGTTTTCAATTGATTCAACATCTACAGAATCTTGGGAATTATCACCAAAATCTAAATCGTTTGGTAAATCTTCCCCCCTTCTAAAACGTATTGTAAGATCATTTTCGTCATCGTCGTCATCGTCGTCGACGTCATCGTCATCATCGTCGTCATTGTCATCACCGTCGTTGTCGTCGACTTCTTCGTCACTATTATTACCATTATCATCATTGTTATCATTGTCATCATTGTCATCATCGTTGTCTCCGTCATTATCGAAACTTCGACTGCATAATCTCTTTTTTTTATACGATTTGCACTCGAAATCTGCAATTAAAATATAATTCGAAATGTTAATATTTAATTAATTAGTTTCTTTTTAATTATTTTAATTTAATTTAAATTAATTTATATAATTCCTTTACACGAACGAACAATGCATACAATTCAACGATGCGAACAACATATATCTCTTCAACGTAAATCATAAGTGTAGAACTCATATATGCATCCGGTATATTATTATATTTTGAAGATAAATTAATAATAATAATAGTAAGTCATAAATATATTTTACGATCATAAAATTCTTATATTATTTAGCAAATATTAGCAATAGTATCTTTTAAATCAGTATATCAATATAATTAATCAATATATTAATACGATATGCAATACACAACAAAAGTAAGCTGAATATTTTACTATATATATATACTTTATCTGTAATGGGTTAATAAGAACATGTAAAAAAAATATTACCACGTGATAATCCGTCTGAATTGGAGATACTTTCGTGTGTTCTTTTATTATATTCATTAATATTATCATCTATATCAAAAACAGAAGCTTCTATATCTTGATCTTCCATATCTTCTTCTACTTCCTTATCCATTATTTCTATTTCTTCTTGTGTAAATGACATTAAGGGATTTATACTATCAGCAAATTTATCTTTTAATTCGTCCTTTTGTTCTTCTATATGTTCTGGACTGCTACAATGAGCAGGCGGTATTCTAGATGCACGCGCCTAAAAAGCTTGTCTTATATTATATTTGGCATTATATCTAATGTATAATTTGTACGATTTAAAATAAAATATTTGTTTTATATATTTAGAAGTTCTTTTTTTTAATCCTTTACACCGATTACATGTTTTCTTTCTTTCTTTTCTTTCTGTTAAATAAAGTTAGACTAGATAAGAAAAATCTAGTACTTTTCTATATTTTAAAAAAAGATTATTATTAGATAAATATTCATAGAACAAGTGTACGTACAGACAAAATTTTTCAAACTATATAGTGTTACTATAACTTATTTATCTTTATTAATCCTTTCGCTACGGCAGGCCTCGCCGCAGAGTGCCTCGTGCTGAACAGAATGCCGCGCCGAAAGTGGGAACATTAAGCGCGAACAGTCTTCAGCATTCGGGGCCAAATCTTTTGTCTCAAAAACGACGTTGTGACACTGCATTTAGAAGCAAAATGATTTGTGTTCATAACTATGTGTTCATACTTTTCATGAATGTATTTTTATATTTTAATAATACAATTAACTTTTTTTCCATCTTTGGAACAGGTGACTAGAGTCACCCGTAGTAGCGAAAGGATTAGCATGATCAAAAACGAATAAAGTTTAGCAGTACTGGTAGTTGGTGTATAAAATATTAATAATAAAATCATATCCACCTTTGTAGTAAGAGGAAAAAGGCGTTCATCAACATATTCCCAACGTTCTGCACATGCCCAGAGCCAATCTGGATTTACGATTTTTACATCACCTCGTTTTTTGGCAGCATTTACTTTTGCAGTTCCCGGTCTAATAGCAACTAAATGTGTAGTATTTTCCATCAAATCCTAATACATTTTAGTCAACCATGATGTATGTGCATACAAATTTATAGAATAAAATTAATACATATATAAATAAGTAAAAACTTACTTGTGTAACTTCTGCTCCAAATGCTCTTGCAACTTTATAAGCACGACTTTGATTAAGTTTTTGATGAGTAGGTATCAATCCACTAAAAGTCAAACAAATACCTTTTAATACTTGTGCTCTTACACGAGGTATAATAACTCTTAACGATTTTTGTCTAATTTCCTTTTCTATATTGTTGTAAAACTCAGCATGTATTTTTCGAAGAATATCTTCTAAGTACAATAAATAATCATCTTCATCCTCATCTATAAATTTATTTTCATTGCATATCTCTTTCTTTTCTGTTTCTAGATTTTTATCTCCCTTTGAATTATCTCTATCTACTTTTTGAACTTGTTCAGTATCATTTTCTGATTGCTTTTCTACATCATTTGATTGTATCTCAACAGTTTTTTCTTTAACTCCTTTATCATCTTTATCTCTTTTATCTCCTTGATCATTTTTATCATCTTTATCATCTTCATCATCTTTATTTCTCTTATCTTCTTTAGTTCCTTTTTCTCCTTTTTTTCCTATATCTTCTATATTTCTTTTATCATCATCAGTACATTTTACTTCTTCTGATACAATAACACTTTCAAATTCTCTTATGCTTTCTTTAGCATCACTATTTAATACATCTTTATTGGTTGAGTGCAATGTACCGTTATTAGTATTTTTACTTTGTATGTCTTTTACAGCAGTCGATATGGGTGTAGTGGGATCATTTTTTTCTAAACCAGGTGGAGCATGTATATCACCGGTATGAGGAAAGAAGTGATAAGGTTTAACTTGTACTAAGTTGCCGCATCCTTGCCATACATCTTCTCTGTCATCTATGATACATACCATATCATCTCCACAAGGAAATAAAGCCCTATTATAAACAATATTTAATTATATGAAAAATCCATATAAAAATAAACATCTATGATACTAGTAAAGAAATATTAACATATAATCATACTTTAAATTGGCTGTTTTGGACGCCGGATCAAAACATTCATCTCTTGAAAGTATTCTGTGAGAAAACAAAGTACCATCTTTATCTAATAAGGATGCTACAGTATGTGCATAATTTCTTGCACCGAACGTACAGATATGTAATTCGTATAGACGACTCATTTCTAAGAGAAAATGTCGAGTGTTTGGTCTTAAGCGTGTATGATACCATGGAGAATTAGGTCCATAAAGCTGATAATGATACACATCCTAAAATATTAAAACAATATTTCATAATGCTACGAGATAGAAATATTATTTAGAAAAAATGTTAACCTTCATATTAGGCGGAATATTATCGTTGGTTGTGTGAACGATAGTTTGATCAAGATCCACAAGTAACGCCAATTTACGATCACGTAAAAGTCTTTGTACATCTTCTTTTCCAATTTTTTCAGCTAATTCGGGACATACTTTAAGTTCAGGTACACTGTGTATCATTGGTACAACAGCTTGAGAAATTACGTTTTCTCCATCTTTTCCATTTCCTTCTATTCTTAAATCTACACCACATTCTGCACACAAATCCTTCATGACAGTAGGATGTTTGCATCCTTCAAGCATCAATATCACTTCCCTAAAACACTAACAAATTATCCGGGTACTGAACAATTATAAGCATATTAAATTTATGCGTAACTATTGATTAAGAATCAAAATATATACAAAAAAAAAAAAAAAGATTTTAAATACTTAAATCAAATTATCATAATATTGTAGAGGTTAAGGAATATATACCCAGGTTTTATGATGTCACCTTCTTTGAATAATAACTTTGTAATACGGCCATATCGCATAGCTCGAAACTTCTTTTCAGAGTTATTACTTTCGTCATTGTGTGATGTTATGTTTCGGTAAAAAAACAATACTCTACCGGCTGATACCGTTGTATTCGTACGAACTCTCCATTTCAATAGTTTAGCTGTTTGCTCTTCCTTAGGAAATATTATTTCTATAGTTGCCATAATTATTTAATCACTTAGATCATTATATTTTCGACATTATTCGTAATAATTTCACAAAAAATTTTTCAACAAAATTTTCTTAAACAAAAATAATTGAATTTCACAAAGTACTCATTTAATGGTTATATGTCAGCCATAATATTATTCTTGCTACTCAAACGGAATTCTGTCAATGATATACTGGTTTATAGCCAGAAGCCTGCCTATTCTCTTTGAGGTTTGTTTACCCGGGCGCTCAGTCTCTGGACCATTGTGCCCGGAGCCTGCCTATAAAAAGGAGTTTTCTATACATTTGTCCAAACGGCAACCAATAAGAGATTAATCGATAGCAGCGCCACGAACATTATATAATCCTGAACACAGTGTAAGAATTTCTATATATAACTACTATACATACTAAAAGCGCGCTAAAATGTGTTTGAAAATTTAGTGATAGAGCTTGTATTATGATGTATTATAATGTAAAAGATTATTAAGCTGTGTTTATTAAATAATTTTTGTTAAATTTATTTACGAATAAAGGATTTTTTTCATTCAATGTTTTGACAATGTTATTTATACGATATAAATTAATAGTTCCTAGTTTAGTATTGTATGCATATATTTTTAAACAGTAGGCAGTCTCTACAAGTGTTGACAGGGTGTCGTGTAGGTTTGTGATGTTTCAATCAAATGATAAGTTATACTTACGGTGATGTGTTATATTACCATGCTTATTTTATAAGCATGATCTATTGTAGAAGAAAAAAATAGTGTTGGGAAAAT